GAAGCATATTTCACCATTGGGTGAGCGCCGCCGTTTATCGCCGTGTGGTCTGTAGAAGAGATACAAAAAATTAGTAAAATAGTAGCGCAAGATTTCGGTGAGAAACGCATGCGCCTCGCGCTGTCGTCAACGTGTTGATTTTGCACTTGTTCAAGCACAAATGACGGAAAAGTACTACTATACTGGAAAAAAGGATTAACGTGAACAGCAAGCAACGTCGAGTGGGAACGTACTCTGATAGGCTCTATCTACCATAACACGACTTAAGATCACGCAGAGATCGGACAGAAAGTGAGTGAAATGAGCAGTGTCTGGCATGAGCATGCATGAAGTGCGCGATCAGCTTAGCGTTTGGCAGACTGGAGAGATTTATTACAAAATTTATAAACTCACCCCTAGGAGAAATTTATCGCCTATCCCTATCGCGTAACATAGCACTTCAATGGGTCCTTCTCCCTCAGGGACTAGTCGACCACTCTTCCATTAGAGCTTTCATGTGGAAGTCGAAACGTCGGGCTGTGTATCGTCCTGGTATTTGACGTACTGACCGATTCAGACGACTATCCCGCGCATGTTTAGTGGTCACCACGTAATCGCATACGTGTCTAGCCCACCTAATCATTGATTACTCACGAAAACGGCAACGTCCCTGATTTTTGAGATTGAGGCAGGCTGGAGATCAGTCGTTAATCATATTGATTCACCGACCAGGGCACACACAGCTGGAGCATTCGGAGATGTTGGTTTCGTAGAGCGCGAAGTGTGTGAGGCATCAGGAACCTGTCCGATTTCTCTATGAACATCGTCTTCGTTAGATTTAGCCGTAAAGCGATATTATCCATGCTCCGACAAAATCAGTAAACATCGCTCAGCTCGATTTAGCTCGACGGTGTAAGAACGATGTCTACAGTGGTGCACTTGCTGACTGTCGACCTTCATTTCCGTTTCCCAATACACGGGAAGACGTGGACGCATAAGTTCTTGCGGGAGGCGCTGAACCTTTTGCTCAAAAGATTGTTGCCCTGTGAAACCCTTCTCTTCAATGATAACCTCATTGTAAAATGGCAAGACCATGGTACCAAGGTGCAACGAAGAAGCTTACGAAGAATCCTGTGAACTAAGAAGAAAAGACAAGGGCGTTAGGCGTTCCTGTCTACCAAGAGTCGAAAGTTTTCAAGACGATGGACGTGAGATATAGCGGCATCCTATCCTGATGTAAAACTCCTGAGTCTCATACCATGTGGATGAACCAATCGTAAGCACCAGAGAAGGATTATAGGTCGAAGTGAACATTTGAGAT